CAGTTTTGCGACTTCTGCCGACAATTAATTTCGCGAGAGCAGGACAGGACAGATCAAGCGTCAATCAATCCAATGTATGCGTTCCCTAATATAGGTTTTGCGTTCTCATTTTACGTCCTCGGATTAAAAACCCTGCTCAAAGTCCGGTGTTATTTATGCAAGGTGGAATAATAATATTAGTTCTGTTCTATTTTTCCATTAAAAGCACTCACATGTGAGTGGCGTTAAAAGAAATAAATGTTTATAAATAAATAAATTTATAAATAAATGTCCTGTTTTATGTCTGAAAATGCCCTGCGTATCGTTGAGCTTAGGGAATGGGGTTAAGGTATGCCACAGGTAGGCAGTGCTAGGGGATCCTGGGAATTGTAGTTTGTGGTGGCACCAAAGCTCTCCCTGTCTCCCTGACGCAGAAGGCTAAATGCCTCAACAAAACTACACTTCCCAGAATTCCCTAGCATTGAGCCAGGGCAGCCCAAACTGGATTATTTTCTGCAGTGTGGAGGAGGTGCTAGAAGCATCCATTTATACTTCCATGAACGTCTTTATGGGATTCCTTGTGATTGGGCGGGCTATAAATAAATAAATAATAATAATAATAATAATAATAATAATAATAATAATAATAATAATAATAATAATTATTTAGCTTTTATTCGGCTGTGCCCTACATTTTCCCTTGAGTGTCCTATGGTGCATCCTCTTCCTTTGCATGTGAATTAGTGTGAATTAGTAGAGACCTGAGTTAAATTTAAATTTAAATTTCTTTATTACGACCATTCGGTCAGCACAAAGACCTGAGTTACGCTGAGCAAACAGAGCCCAAACTAAATCTTATTTATTTATTATTTTATTTTTTTGCATTTTATTGAACACTTGCAGCCATTTATAGGAAAGCTGAGGACAAAGGTGGGAGGAGGAGGAGAAAGAAAGAAAGAAACCAGGATGTTTTGAAAGAACCTGAGGAAAATGGGAGGGCAGAAGAGTAACAAGAAAGAAAGAATAGATAAATACTATATATGTATTTATTTATATATTTTTATTTTTATTTTGTTGAACTCAGCTTGCAGTCATTGACAGGAAAAAGCTGAGGACGAAGGTGGGAGGAGGTGAAAGGATGGAAGAAAAAGAAAATGGGATGTTTTGAAAGAAGCTGTGAGGAAAATGGGAGGGCAAAGGAGTAACAAGGAAGGAAGAACAGATAAATATTGTATATTTATTTATTTATATTTGCATTTTGTTGAACTCAGTTTGTAGCCATTGACAGGAAAAGCTGAGGACAAAGGTGGGAGGAGGAAGGAGAAAAAGATAAATAAATAAGCAAATAAATAAACGGAGACATGAGTTATGGAGCCCAAACTATATCTTATTTTTTGCAGGCTGAACTCAGCTTGCAGCCATTGACAGGAAAGCTGAGGACAAAGGTGGGAGGAGGAAGGAGAAAGAGATAAATAAATAAGCAAATAAATAAATGGAGACATGAGTTGTGGAGCCCAAACTATATCTTGTTTATTTATTTTTTTGCAGGTTGAACTCAGTTTGCAGCCATAGACAGGAAAGCTGAG